TTAACATTTAAATGAGTGCACTTGCTATAATTTAAGAAAATACAAATGCATATGGGCCTCAAGCTACGAAGTGTTCTATATTTAGAAGCTGGCTGTATATTTTTTTTTTAATTAAAATATGTGTTCGCCTCGCCATAGTGAATTTAAATAAACTAGATTGTGTAAACTCACTAAACAATCATTTTGTTTTGTTCTTTATAGCTGTAGTGGTTTGAGAGTATTTTACTTACATTTTAGCAGTGTACCATACTTTTATATTTTTGGGAAACACTAATTATCCTAATCAGGTCAGACAAACTTTTTAAATAGGCCCTATTTTATGAATGTTAATGCAATAATTATTGTTCGTAAAGAGTAAAAAACATAAAACTTTCTTTTGTTTGTTTTTATTAACAGTTACATTACATACCATTTGGACAATCAGATTTCATTTTCAAATTTTAATCAAAAAAAGCAAAAAGCTAAGAAGTACGTTAAGACAGCCTCTTACATCGACGTTGGATGGGTGATAAAAATATAATTATATTTGTTTTACCATATTTGGACATAATAAAGAAAGTTAAACCCCCAAAATCCGTGTGAAAACTTATAATTTGTTATTTTCATGATACCTTTTCTTTAGTCTAGCACATGCATTTTACTGGCAAAACTGGACATAGGCCTAATGACAAACATCAGATTGTTTATACTTCATGCATTGGTTTTGTTTTAATTTGGAAGAGCGCATTATGCCCATATTTACTAGATTACAGAAGAAAGATCATAAAAGTACTTTAGTATATTTTTCTGTTGTGCAGTTAGTAGGCCTACAGTACATTTACATTAAAAAATCAATAGCATAATATTTTCGTAACAATGTATTGGAAGTCAACTTTATAACCTCCTTCAAATGTTGATGTTTTAGTTTAGGCAAAATTTGTTATTTTCATTAAACCTTTTCATTAGTACATGCATTTTACTGGCAAAACTAGACATGGCCTAATGACTAACCTCAGCTTTTTCATGCTTCATTGGCTTTTGTTTTAATTTGGAAAAACGCATAATGTCCATTTTGACATGATTACAGAAAACAGTACTGTAGTAGGTACAGTATATTTACATTAAAAATATAAATAATTTATTTCCATAACAATGTATTGTAAGTCACTTTTATAATCTCCTTCAAATGTTGATGTTTTAGTTTAGGCATAAATTGATTCAGTATAATCTCTTGCAATTTTCTTCTTTTATACCAATAAATGAAAAGGCTACAAGAAACACGTTCTGCTTAATATCTGCAAATGAGTTCTTTTGAAAGAAATTATTGGGTTTTGGGTATTTTTTTATTGTTTTTGCTTATATAGGGCTATACTGTATACATTTTGTGGTTAAATGAGTAAAATGTTTATTTGACCATTAGAAACTTTTTTTTTCTGGTGGTTGTTAGGTATTACAATGTTGACGACGTCACTGCATTAGTCTGAAATCAAATATTGTACAGTATAGTGATAATAAAAGTCAATGGATTTACAGACAAAAGGTCTTCTAATATTATGCTGACAAAGAAAAAGACTGAAACCTTTATTCAGAGCAGAGTACATTGTTTAATATTATGTCAGCCAACCAATCTCACAGTCGAGGATAATGGACGATGTATATTATCATAAATGATGAAAATCATAGTTAAATCAATGTTTGTTCAAATGGCACCCTGACGATTCGATGAAATTAACTGCAAGGTCAAATAGACATTTCAGATATTTTTTTAAATATAATTTTAAAATAGATCGCCTCCATGTAAGCGTCCGCTATTTTCCAGAGTGCTGTTCTAGTTTAAATGTAATAAATAATATTATTAATAATTAATGAAGAATTTTTACTTGTTTAGGTTGCCAATAGCATATAATTTATTTTGTTTTATATTATTCATTTGAACCATGTCGACATGAACATAAAACGAACAGATTTAATGCTATCCTAACACTAGTACATAATAAGAACCACAATTTTGGGAAAGATAACAGTGTGACAAAAATATATATATTTTTAAAGCAAACACAATTCATTGTCTAATAAGCTAATATTAACTACCTCCAACAATAAAACAATATAGTTACATATACACATACATCTGAAATAAAAGTTTAATTGAATTGCGACACAAGCTAGTTTAGCAAGGGACATATCCATCATGCACATGCCTCGTGATAAACGCAAACTTTTCACATCACAATGTAGGCCTACACCACATAATAAAGTACAATTGTATGATACAACATTTGTTTTTTCCTTCAGCACAGGCAGAATATATTTAATTCATGCCTTTACAGACTTTTGACAGAACAGTAAAAAGATCATTTTACTGTTCAATTTATATATGTTCAGCTATCATAATGAAATGGTATGTGTAGCCATGTCAGTCTACATAGGCTATACAGAAACATAGATGAGGTAGATAGCAATTTATTGACTAAAATATTTAAATACAAAATTTGTTCCTGTTTGAACTTCAGGTGATTATTCAGACAACCTGAAATCAATATTATATATATTATATATATATATATATATATACATATATATATACATAATTATATATATACTGTATATATGATTATATATATAATATGTATATAATTTGTATGTTTTGATTCACAAACTTCTTCACAATTTGATAACGATTGTATAATGCAACACAATATTGTTCAGGGGCGGATCTAGGATGATAATTAGAGGGGGTCTCACTCGGTGTTTTGGAAGTGGGTTCCCCCTCCCAATATTAAGAATTTTTTGGAGAAAGTATCACTGAGACGGCTGTACATGGCTTCTAATCTAAAGAATTAGATTGTGTTCTATTGTTATGGAGTCGTTAAAAATATATTCATTGTTGTATAATATTGTATCTGTCTCTTATACACATCTAGATGTGTATAAGAGACAGGAGTTAACCCAGCAAAAAAACGAAATAGTGAAATTTTGCTTTAAATACCAATTTTTGGATCGGGGTATGGGAAACATGTTTATATTTTTAGTCAATTTTATTTTTTTTTTCTATAACTGTGAAAACTGACAGGACCTTATTTAAATACTTACCCATTATAGTCGTTTAGTAGAAAACCAGGGGGTCTGATAGGGTAGGTCCAAACACAGGCCGACTAGACCCTCGGAATAAATATCTTGGCTTACGGGAGAGTTTTTTTTTTTTTAGCTTCGTATGGCCCAAAATTTTGCTTTTAAGCTAAAATATTAGGGATTGGCAATAAAAATAATATGGATAAGCAAATCATTATTTGTGGTGTGGCGACCTCGTCGTAGCATCGGACGATGGGACGCTAGGCATGTCTTACGGGAATTCCCCACCTCCAAAGCAAATTGGAATGATGACGTCAACACACCAAATTCCAAGACTACGACAATCAAAATTAAAGGAAATGTTTACCAATTTAAATTTAATTTTTCTACACTACATTTTTCTTCATCATCATTACTATACTATTATGTTGTTACTCTATAATATTATTAATATAGTATATCATTATTCTTATGCGTTTAAAAAATTTATATTTTATAATTCACATTAATATTAGCGTTATTACTGTTATTCTTACTATACTGATGTCATTATTATTATCATCATCATCTTCCTCATTGTCATCCCCATCCTCATTATAATCCCCATTATAAGGAGGATGTTGATGATGATGATGAGGAGAAGAAAGATGATGAGGAAGATGGTGAGGAAGAAGATGATGGTGATTATGAATGATGATAAAGGTTGTGATGATGGTGATGAGAATGATAGAAAATGATTGGTGAGAATGATGATGATGATGAATGATGAGAATCATGCCTCCCATCCTCACCCTCGTTCATGATAATGACAGTAATGAGGATGATGATGAGGATGATGATAATAATGAGGATGATGGTAATGATGATTATGATTATGGTGATGAAGATAAGAATGGTGATGAGGATGATGCGGTTGATGAGGAAAAGGAAGATGATGAGGTAGATGATGATTGATGATGAATGATGATGAGGAAGAAAATGATGCTAATAAGGATGGTGAGGATAATGATGATAATAATGAGAAGGATTGGGATGATGAGTTTCATGATGATGAAGATAAGGATAATGATTATGATTGATGATAATGGTTGTTGATGAGGATGATCGTGATAATGATGAGGATGATTGATGAGAATGATGTCAATGAGGTTAATGATGACGAATGATGAGAAGCATCATCTCTGCCCCTTATCCTCATCTTCATTCTTGTCGTCCTCCTCGTCTTCATCATCATCCTCATGAGGCCGGGTGGCAATGGGCCGGGTGGCAACGGGCCGGGTGGCAACGGACCGGGTGGTAAAAGGCCGGGTGGCAACGCGGAACCCCATTTTGTATTGAGAGAAGCAACACAGTGCTGCTCAAGAAGACACATGTGGAAAGTGCAGCCAAAGATATAAAACAGACTGTTTCGCTGTGGCAAACAGCTTTATAATAATCACTAAAAATAAACAACATGTGACCTGTACTCATCAAGTAAAATACAGGTGTTGTATAATATTGTATACTGTCTGACAGGCAACTTCACGATCTCTTTGTAGCACATCTGTTTTAAAATCTAACTTTGGTATAATCTGTAAATCAGCGAAAATTTGGACTGCAGCTTTGATCCTTGTCTTTGGAAAGTTGAAAACATATAGATCTTTTTAAAATGAGCAATGATTTGATTAAAAGTATATCTTATACACCAGAATAGCATATATAAACAAAATAGAGTTCACCCTCCATTTCGAGACCACCATGAATATTTGTGGTGGTCTCGAGCCTAGGTCTCTAATTAGAGACTTTGTGAAAAGATTTAAGATTGTTATTTGGTTCTTAAAAAAGTCGTCTCGCACAGGAATGGTCTTACATTCGAGGGTGCACTATAACAAGTTTGTGGTCTTCAAGTTGTTTCAGCTTTCTGCTACTCTATAGGAATATAATATAAAAAATATATGCTCATGCTTCGATTCCATATAAAATATCTCCAATTAGAGAATCTGTCATTTATTATTCCCTGATACATGCATGAATAAATGATCTAATATTAAAATTGATTAAATAAAAATTACCGCCCTTGAACAATGCTTCAAATAACCTCTCAAAAAGCACCCTTTTCAACAGGTGAATTCAATCGTAAATACAATACAAGGTGCATATATAAACAGCAAAAATAAGAAAGGAATGATGTTTCGCCGAAGCTGACTTAATACTTGGTATTTAGTGACACAGTGTGCGATACCGCAACATATTGAGCAAAATCATCATTCCTAATAATTATTATTATCATTTTTTCCAAATTTAATTAAAATGGAAAAATTAATTGTTTATGGTCCACAAGTCTTTATTGTTTACATTATGTTCTATCATTTAATATATGTACAAAAAACATTTTTTTATTATTGGATAAAAATCAAATTTTTTAATGCTGCTGATTGACAGTCTAATCATTACAAGACTTAGGCTATATATATTAGTTGATCTTGTACATGTACCATAAACATTCGGATTAAAGAGAGGGGTCGGGCCGGCCCGTCCCCACCCCCTCCAAAGTTTTAAACAATATTTTTTAAATGGCGAAAAAAACTTAAATTAAAATAAAATTTAAGTCAGAGACTGCCATTTCCGGACCTCTAGAGGTTCTATTTAATAACAAATTTTCTGTGGGGCCCCTCTCTATTTCAAATTCCTGGATCCACCACTGCATTCCTAGCAAGATAATTGCAGTATGGAAGTTAATCTTAGAGGGTATAGAAAAGCCCAATTGCATATATTTTGAATAGTCATAAAATATATTGGTGAACAATTGATCACTATTTATTTACACTGGGTCATAATTGATGAATTAAAATTACATTAACTTGTGTATTACCCGTAGTTCTTTAGATGTAAACCCACCTCATACTATACATATAAAGTTGTTTTGTACCGTAATATCAGGGGTGGATTTAAAGGAGGGGGAGGCCCACTTTTGGGAATTTAGAAAAAGAAAAAAAAGAAAAAAAAAAAAGGAAAAGGAAAAGTTGATTGGCCAAAATGCCTCCGACGTTATTTTTGAGCATCTAAAAAAAAAAATTTTCGCAGGGGCATGCCCCTGGAGCCAGCTCCGCTTTCGGCCCCCTTTTGGATTCCCCTATCTCTGGACCCGCCCCTGAGTATTACTATAATTGGTTAAACTGAGAAGGTAATGTTGACTCAATGTTGCATGATGGAGGTATATGCACCTGAGGACCAATCTCTCGCAATGTGGACCGTTTAACTGTTGGCCATATTGCCCCACGGGTTTATGCCATTTCACCACGATGGGGATCCAACTTTGTTTTCAACAGCAGCAGGCTTATACTTGAGGATCTATGATAAATTAATCAAATATATTTCCTGGGCACCAATAAAAAACTGTGTTAAAGATGAAAAAAAAATAAAAATTAAAAAAAAAAAAGTTAATTTAAAAAAATGATATTTATTTAATGAGGTTCAAGAGCAGTATCAAGATGTCCGGTAATATTTTAGTACATAAAATTAATATTAATTGCATTTCTCTTAGTTTTGAACAAAATTGGTGTTTTTTTTTTGTATTTTTAAAAATTGCAAATTCTGTTAAACCTCTTGTAGTGGACGCTTAGTCTCCTCTGTAGCTACTATATAGTGGTTTTGTTCATAGTCTCTTGCTCTATTGTAAAGCAGCACACCTATAACAACTACTACTGTGCCCAATCCGCTTAACAAGGTGACTGGATTGTTGAAGACTATTACTGACAGCCATATAAGAAGCGCCCTTTTTGCTGTATTTGCAACACTAAGTAAAGAAATGGGGAAAAGAAGTTTTATAAAAATTATCATTACAGTAAAATAATTACAACAACATAATTACAACTACCATTATCACTATCATCAAAATCATCAGTGTCACCATCATCATTATCATTATTCATAGAATCTACCATTGATTATTGCGAGCATTGTCATTGCTGTAACAGCCATCAGTCATTCCTGCCACAATAATTGCAATCATTCTCTGCACCATCATAAACATCAATGTCACTGTCAATTATAAATAAGGTTTTGGTTTAATATGTCAAAGTTCAACATACCTGTGTGTAACCGGTGATATTCTACCCATGAGGGCATATGCCGTTATACTTTGTAAATGGAATACAAATCCATCCATTATCAATGCTACTATTAGAGTTGGATTGGGTCTACCATTCCTAAATGGGATTCCCTGTGAAAAAACATAAATTATCAGTGAGATAAACATTTGGAGTGAATGTATAACAGGTATTGACTAAAACATTTCACCACATTGATGACTATTTAATACTCCTTGTATGACTAATGAATATTCATCAATGAGGTCAACTTTTACATTATCAATATCAAGAGTAATGAATATTCATCAATGAGGTCAATTTTTACATTATTACTTTTTTACATTACAACTTTTACACTATCAATATCAAGACTAATGAGTATTCATCAATGAGGTCAACATTTACACTATCAATATCAAGACTAATGAATAATCATTAAGTATTCAATGAAGAGTATGTTGCTGGTCTATGACAAAAAGTGTGTATCTAAAGTTTGGTTAATGTCATAATAATTATGTAATATTAAATATTTTCCCAGAAAAAATATCAATAGTTTCTATAGACACATTTCAATGTCTACATTGGCCTGGCTGAAACACTGAGGGCGCACTATACTGGTTGGCAAAAGATTTGCCAAGTATAGAAAAAATGTATGGAAAATCAGGTTACTGGAACAGTGCAGTGCAGCGCTGCCAGATTTTCAGTCAGGCCAATGTAAAAATTGAAAGAGGTCTGATTAGGACATAAATCTGTTCACACGATCAAATTTTATGTGACAAATAAATGTGACATGAACGTACTTGGCTGTAATATGACATCATCATGCCCGTATATAGGCATATCACATTAAATTTGTCACATAAAATTTGATAGAGTGAACAGAGCTTTATGCACTAAAGATGTATTGTCTGCCAAAAAAAAAAAAAAAAAAAAAGAAAACGAAAAAAACTTGATGAATTGATCACAACCCTGAATTGTTCAATTAAAATGATCGAATACATTATTTAACCACCAAGTAGAAACAGAAATATATTTTTCACCAGTACACAGATATTTTAGTATAAAATATATAAAAAAAAAGGTATTATTTAATAGTCTGTTAATTGATGGGAGAATATTTTCATAATTCAGATTCATAATTGTTAATTTATGAATAAGTTAATCTTACTTATTAGGCAACACAAATATGGAATTGAAATTTTCATTTTTTAACTCATGACAGACAGCACATCTTTAAAATATCTATGCATCTTAATTAGACATACAGTAGATACTAAACAAAATGAGGAACAGCATTATAGGATAAATTAATTTTTTGTTTTTTATTTTCCTTTAACAAATAAGGTAATGATGTGGTATGTTCCAAAGATTAATTGAAATTTTCATTTTTTTTTAGCTTATGACAAACAGCACACCTTTAAAATATCTATGCACCTTAATTAGACATACAGTAGATACAAGAGTAAACCCAGTCTATTATTCATTAGCTAAAACACATAATTTACAAAATGAGGAACAGAATTAGGACAAATTAATGTTCCCAAGATTATATGAAACACGTTATTTACAATTAATTAACTGTGTATATTAGTTATCCTTTAAACCTTAATAGGAAACTAAATTTGAATTATCAGTATTAGCAAAATTATTTGAGAAAAACAATTTACATTGGCCTATAGACACAGGTTGCAAACATGTACAGTTGCGATTTGCAACCAGTCTAGACATAATACGTATCAATGTTAAATTTTTTTTTTGAAATGTAACAAAATTGAAAATTGTAGTTTACAGTGGTTTAACATTTATGTCAGATGAGAGAAGAAGAAAGGCACAGAAGAAAGAACATAATACAGACAAAATATAAAACTTGACTTTAGACCTGATATTATAATTATTGACTTTCTTCAAATGTCTAATTTGGACTTTGTCCCTGTCTAAAATGAATATGGCACAAATGTAAACATACAGTTACCATAATCATATTTAAATACACAGAGCCTAACTTTTAACATTATATCATACCAGACTTAATAAATATGTATACAGTAACATGATGTTATGTTGATATTTTCCCCATTTTCAATGTTAAAACAACATTTTTTAATGATTTGGAGATGGTCTCTGTCTGAGAAATGGCCAAAATCGTAAACTTTGAAGGCTGATTTCTCAAATATTTTAAACAGCTGTATGTTCAAACTCCTGTAACTTCAGAACAAAATGTCGGATTTAAATTATTCTTTTACCATTTTATAATTTTCATTTTACTGCTTAACCCTGTATTAATAACAAAAAAAAAATCTTTTTTTTTTTTGCTAGGAGTGATTGGTTTGGCTTGTCTTTGCCACAAATGTGAACTTACTAGAAAAAAATACCAGGATGGTATAAGGAGACAAACTGCTGCAGCACTGGTGTAGAACTGCAGTTCAGGTGGACTGTAAAAAAGAAACACTGGATTAGACTACTGCCCTCTATAGTTTCATTACTTGCTGCTAAAATGATTTAATGCTTTTCATAGACAGATAAATTTTACATTTGAATCATTTGAAAACAGTGACATAGTACATTTTCTGGATTTACAATTTAACAACAGTGTAGGAAGCATGAGTATATATCGTAAAAATACACATACAGGTAAATATGTCCTTTATGATAGCTTTGCTCCATGGAACCATAAGATCTCCTGGATTCGTAGTTTAGTTTCTAGAGCCCACAGATTGTGTACTCCTGATAAACTTCAAGCAGAGCTTAGTAACATTAGGAAGTTTAGGTCTTGGAATGGGTACCCTTTAAAAGTTGTTAATAATGTACTTAAGAAATTAAATGAACCTAAGTGTATACATAGGCCTACTGATGATAGCTTGATTAAGATTTGGGTTAGATTGCCTTATCTAGGAAAACCAGGTGAATTTATTTTACGTAGATGTTTAAATAAATTAAACACTTAATTAAAGAGGTAAAATTCATAACTTTATGGCAGTATAAAAATGTTTCTCATTTTATATCTACTAAAGATCAAACAAAAGAAGTATAGAAGTTCTGTTGTCTATCATTTTAAATGTCCAGGCTGTAATAGTGATTATATTGGTAAGACAGATAGGTGCTACATGATGTGATAGTGTTATATTTGATCATGTTAAAAACTGTGAGGTATTCCAATATGTTTTAGGCTTACAGGGTATACTTGAAAATGATAATGTCGTCTGTAATGTAAGTAATAAATTAGGTTTAATATTTTCCAGTACTAACATTATTGACGGCTCCCGAAACAGGTCTATCATATTGTTTAAAGAAGCGTTTGCTATACGTAGACTACACCTTTGCTTAACAATGGGCTCAGAGCTTCAAAGGAGCTTTCTTTGTTTTTGTAGGTAGCTTTGATCAGTAGAGTAAGAATGCTTTGATCTTTTGTTTAAATCACTGCTATGTCTCCTACTAGGTAATGTTTTGATTGGTTAACCACTTTTGGTACTAGTGCATATAAGCTTGCTAATATGGATAATTTTTTCATTTCTGATGACATAATTAATGTGGAAATATTGAATCCCAACACAATGGCTGCATTTTAATACTTGGAGTATGTATTATACTTTCCTAAAATGATTACGGTATTAAAATAAAGGAAATGTTTCTTTCCACTTTGTCATTTAGCACTGGTACCATGAGCTACACAGGTGGCAAATTTGTTTTACCATAAAATGCACGTCTGCACATGTGAAATCTCTTTATAATATTATATGCGAGGCTTGCCATCAAAACCAGTGTACAGTCGCTAAAATGTTAATCTGAGTAATTATCATAAGAATGTGGCAGTATTGTACACTTTAGTACAGAGAAGCTGTAATACTTTTATTACTCTTAACTTTAGCATTAGTAAATCAATTCCAGTAAATGGCCTATCATTTTAAAGCTTATAATGTGAAGAATACATATATTAAATATTTTTTAATTTATTAATATATTAAAACATCAATTTTCTTTCGGTCACTGATGCTAGTTCTGGCATGGCAAGCCTCATATTACTCTAGTCCTTCACTAATATATAATTTACAGTAACATTAACACTAACCTGTATTTATATCGGCAACCACTTAATAATTTCTTAGAAAATACATTTTGTAAACTGAAAAAAAGATAATGAAGTTTATTGTAAAAAATTATATAGCTATATGACTTCCCCCTCACCCCAACAAAAAAAAAAAAACAGGACAAGAAAAAGAAAAGGATGAAGAGGGATTAGAAAATGGAATTGATAGCGCAGCATGATATCTCTAAAAGTTGTAATTTTTCTACTTTTGATTTTATGTGACTATACCACACAACCCCAACTCTACCCCCACCCCGCCCTGAAATTGGTGCTTCACACGGTGCATGGTCCCTACACCAATTCTGTACCTGCCAACACTCAACAATGCTACCATTTGTATTGTAAGTTCAACAATGCCACTCAACTTATACTAAATCATAGTACTGTAATAACAAAACAATACAGTGGCAGATCCAAGAATTTGAAAAATGGTGGGGGCCCCAACCCCCCGGATCTTTTAAACATGAAGGGTTCTACCACCATGGCTGGGGCTGAGGTAAAGAAAATTTATGATTATGGCACCTTTAGATGGCCAGAAATGGCACACTCACACTCGAAATTTGAATAAAAATTATTTTTTTATTTCCATTTTTTTTGGGGGAGGGGGAGGGGGAGCTCTTGGCCAGCTGGCCCCACCCCCCTCCTTTGAATCCACCACTGCAATAACAAACAACAATAACATTTACTCACCAATCAACTAAATTTGTTAAAATTGCAGCACCAAAACCAACTGTAGTGAAACTTAACTCATAAGCACTCGTCAACGCTAGACCTCCCATGACTGGTAGCAGTGATAAGTTTACCCAGAATCCTGTAACCTCCCCTAGTATTGCACGAGCTATAAGAACAGTGAAGAGGGGTGCAGTACTCTTAATCGTCTCTGTGAAGGACACAGCTATATTCTTCAGTGCCACCAAACCTAAGACAACAGTTGCAAAACTGCAATAAGGACCAGAAAACAATTATTAGTTAGCTACTACAATAAAAAAAAAAAAAAAAAAAAAAAAAAAAAAAATTAATATTATATTTCTTTTAGGTTTGCATGGCGAGTATCAATAACAAAATAATGAAATCTACACCATGGTTGATTTTCTGAACGTTTCAGTGAGATTGTGCTGACCGTCATCAGGTCGAGAATGAGAAAATATAAATATTACTGTTATACTGTATCATTATATAAACAACATTACCAATATAAACACTGTAATATAAAAAAAAAGACAAATAAATTTTTATTCAGCCTTGACCCTGAGACTTTTTTTATATCTTGTTTCGCAAAGTTATTTATTAAAGATAGAGTACAGAAAAAAATAAAAATAATATTTCGTTAGCAAATGGTTTTGCCAAAAACATCTAGACAGAGGAGAAAATAAAAATAAAATGTTATTGTTGAATGTAAACAGTGTAGTAATGGTTAAATTTATATAAACATAAAGAAAAACTTTTATTTTTTCTGAAATTTCCATTTTTTCATGGCAGCGGGTGCACCAATTGGCCAAAAACAAAATTTTATTTTTTTATTCAAAATCATCATTATTGTCGGGTGGCATGTTAGCCAAAAGAAAGTCTCGCCCTATCAATAACATTTTACCATATTTATAGAGGGTGACCCTTCCAGTGTATCCTTGGAAGGGGCCCTCTTAACGTGATGCTTTTTAATCAGTGAAGTCTCTTTATGAGGTTTACAGAGTGGAGTTGTTTTTAGTCGCGAGAAAAAGACCTATCACAGGAATCGAACCCAGGACCGGGAATTAGAAGGCAAGCATCTTAACCACAAAGCTATTCAACTCCAATGTAATTTATCTTAATGAAAAGTGAACATTAATACATCATCTTTACCTTGACATATACCCATCTTAAATAAACATCCATATTCACCCTATCTATAACACTGATGTAAAGGACTGTGTATCCATAAAATTGCTATTTTTGTCAGTCTAAATTTTGGCTGTTTAAAACAACGCTTTCGGTTAGTTGAAGCCAAATTATTTTTGTGGGTTGTGAAGCCTCGACAGAAACAACTAGAAATCATCTAGTTCTACAGTAGTCTGTTGCTATCATGTCAGCATTTAGATAACATAAGACTTTGGAAATAATTAATTCAAATGTATTTTATGGACAAAACTATAGCAAAATCATGACGGGTAAAATACACCGAGAAAACACATGGCACATAGTGTAAGCACTAAGGCAACGTTCAGACTTGGAGATAAGCCCGGCTTGAACTAAGCCCGGCTTAACTTTGGCAGGCGTTCAGACTAGCGGCATTAGCCAGGCGCGAGAATTTTCATAATAATGAACCGTAACCAGCAAACGTTTTTCAAAACATTGCTCGTGAAACATACTTTCGTGGGCTATCCTTGGTGCTTACACACCGAATAAATCCGATCCAATCCATCACACTAAATATTTGCAGAATGCTGGTTTAAAGATGTTGACATTTCATCAATTTGGAAATGTTTTTAATATTTATTATGAAGTAGACCAAAGTTGAGATCTATTGTTAAGTGGTTAAAATTATACATCCTTGATTTGTTATTTTATTGTATATAATATTTACTTTTTTAGAAAAATCAATAATATGTTGTCACATATTTCACTAGTTGCTTCATGTATTTAAAAAAATATTTTACAAGTACAGTACAATAATTGTATATAAAAAAAAGAATGAGACAACTAAATCTATTTCAAGTAAAACATTTATTAACAAGAAACAGTAGAAGGCAACAGTATTTTTCTTGCCTCAGCTAATTAAAAAATCAATGTTCATATCTCTACAATTAATCGAATTGTTGCATTCAGGCAATATCATTATTAAATATTTGAAAATCTGGAAATATCATTATTAAGTATGCATTCAGACAATATTTTAATTGAACATGTGCATTCAGACAATATTATAACAAGGAACCAAGACTCGCATTTTTCTTAATGTGACAATAAAGTACAGCAATACTGTATCTATGTCTATGTTATTATTGAATATTTTCATTCAGACAATATTATTTAATACAGTGCACACAAAAATTCGAGACCCCTCTAATTTCGAGACCCCTTTAATTCGAGACCACTTTTTCAAAATACCAAATAACAATCTTTAAACTTTTAACACAAAGCAAACCCTCTATTTGAGATCCAACCCCAAATTTTCAGGTCACATAGGTGGTCTCGAATTGCAGGGCAAACTCTATTCGCATTCAGACAATATTACTGTATTATTATTGAATATTTGCATTCAGACATTATTACTGTATTATTGAAGTGCATTCAGACAAAATTACAATTATTAAATATTTGCATTCAGACAATATTACTATTTAATATTGGCAATTCAGACAATATTAAATAATACTGTATTGAATATTTGTTTGCAAACATTACTATTACAACCTATTTTGATCTTCCTAGGATCATATAGCATAGTGTGTGTCTTGATACTAATTATAATTAAAACAATAAATTGTTTAATATGTATTATCACACAGAACACATACAATATCATTAATAGATTCTTCATGTACCTGTATAGGTATCTGTGTACTGTTAGCATTATAAGCATGCTGGGTGTAGTTATGTACTGCAGGAATCCCTCAAACTAAAACAAAAATAATTTGATTTTTTTCAAAACATTATTATATTTCTTATTTATCAATGCTTACAGTAACTACATTTAAAAAAAAATGTTACTGTATTTTTGTATTTATTAATTAATGCATTATTCTAAATTGTTATAGTGCTATAATTAAAATAATTTTTTTTCTATTAATTTAATTTGTTTTTCAAATTTGTAGAGTATGAGGTTACAAATGTCTTTCATAAAGTCACTTACCATACACTCTTCCGATGTTTTTTTTAAATATTTTATTTAATTCGCATCCAACAGCAGTAACTTGCAAATTACAGGAGGGACAATGCTCTCTATATATATATTAATATACCCCATACATAGATTGTAGGCATCTGATTGGTTTAAGAAGCAGCAGAATGTTGTAATTTGTACTTGATTTAACTTAATTGATTTAAAATATTGTACTTATTTTTATCTTTATAATAAGGGGTTTTGATGTACAGCGCTTTGATCTTTTTGTGTAAAGGCGCTATGCTATATGAATGCTTTTTAATAATAAATAATAATAACAGAAAGTACTATTGTTCTTAACAAGTACTATTCCCCTGAAAAATAGTATTTTTTTACCTGTTGCATGGTGCGAACTCTAGGCCCCACCATTGCATTGATGGTAGAGGGGAGTGCGACCTCTACTACGAAAGAGATTGGCCCTTGACCACACCACAGATCAGCGAGTAGACGATAAACAATAATTATGGAGGCTGTTGGTTCGAGCTCCTAGATGAAGAAGGACTAGCCTAGGCCTATACTTCCTGACGAAGCAGATAGCAAAAGCACCAAAAGACAAATTAAATATGTCTTGTCAATAGTTGACAAATATTGCAAGAGGATGGTTTGAAAATGAGGAAATGATAAGAGCTAGAAACACTCTCTGATTGCCTAGGCCCTAGTTAGTAGGCCTCTAGGCTAGGCTAGTAAGTAAGTACTTTTTTACACCTCGTAGAATATATGTATGAGGTATACAAAACAAATATTGACTGCTCTGGAATGGTGAAATCTATTTCCCCTCGGTGATGCGGAAACCGTAGCCTACGTGTATCTTCCATCGGGCCACAATTTCCACATTACCTCTGGGCAATAGATTTCACCATTCCCCTCATGAGCAGTCAATATTAGTATAACATATACATCAAGTCTTTTTTTGAGGCTAGAGAGTGGAGTTATTTTTCAAGCATGTTATTGTTAACCACTATACTCCACTCCACTCCAACATGTTAAGGTGTTACCTAGTGGTATCCCTCCTACTGTAATACCCACTGGGCTCATGGACTTCACATTTTGTGCTAAAGGAATGTCTGATAAATAATCTGAAATTAACTGCTAGGATTTGGAGAGGTAGGCAGGTCAGGATGTGTTTACTGGCTACAGCAAATTACATCCAATATACTATCAATCTACTATTGTACATAACATGCTTCTGTTCTTTCAACACACTGTGAACTAGATCTACTATACATAAAACAAGAAACTTCATAATAATTCATAATATCCAAAGAAAATCTCAAAATAAAACATACCACTACAGTATTTACTAATTAATCAAAACAACTACATGTATTTACTTAATCTACATACAAAATTAAAAAATTAAAATGAAACTAATAATAACTACTTACTACAATTAAAATTTCAAAATAAGTAATCCTTTTATAATAAAAAAAAAAAACTTGAATATATCAGAAGACGTTGCATATTGTTTAAAAAATTACATTTTCCAATTTTGTAAGGAATTCTGCTACTGTAAATGTTTGATGGTTTAAAAGGTTGTGATTGTCAGCTAGGTTGTGTTGGTATACCAGGTTCTGTTGGTACACTAGGTGGTAGTGTTGGTACACTAGGTTAAATTGGTAAAGCTACATTGTGTTGGTATGGCAGGTTTTGTTGGTACACTAGGTGGTAGTGTTGGTACACTAGGTAACATTGGTAAGCTAGTTTGAGTTGGTACAGTAGGACAGGTTGTGTAGGTACACTAGGTGGTAGTATTGGTACACTAGGTTACAATGGTAAAGCTAGGTTGTGTTGGTATGACAGGTTGTGTTTGTTTTGTGTTTTGGGTTGTCTTGACGTACTGCTCTTCATTGTTGTACTAGAATTCATTGGTACCATAGGTTACATTTGCAAACTAAGTTATGTTAGTACAGTAGGCTTTATTGGTGTTCTAGGCTGTGTTGGTACACTATGTTGTGTACAGTAGATGTGCTAGGTTTTACTGACCCACTAGATTGTGTTGACGAGCCACTTTGTGTTGGTACCACAGGTTGTGTTGGTGTACTAGGGTGTGTTGGCACGCTAGGTTGTGTTAATAAGCTACATAGTATTGGTACAGGTTGAGTTGGTATATTAGGTTGTGTCGGTGCACAAGTTTGTGAAGTTGAATTGTGATTGTTAGCATCGTGCAAACTAATGTTTCCATGACAAACACAAGGAACATGATGCTGTCTTTGCGGCTGCATGACAACCTGTAAGATCTGCATCATTTGCTGGTGTTGTCTCTCCATTATCCTTTCATGCCACTCCATATTCCTCTGTTGCATCAGTGTTTGGTGCCTCATTAGGCACTCTTCAAAAGCTTTGTCTCGCTCCTCCAACTTTGCAAGCATTGAATCCAATACTATCTCAAGCCTGCTTTTTCTTGTCTTTTTTGCTGGAAATGGTACTTCTTCATCATCATCATCATCATATTCTAAAAGACAAAAGAAGTCAAATTGTTGTCTAAACAATGACAGAAAAAGAGAGGCAAAACCTTGATACTGGCTTTCCCAAGAAGTTGATCCCAGTCTTATTAATATAGATACTGATACTACTGTTTATTTTATCTTCCTATGCACAGCTTAAAGGAGGGGTAGGCATAAATTTTTTTATTTAATATAGGCCATGGGCTAGAGGGGGGTCACCGTGCACCCCCCTCCCACAGTTAAACTTCCTGGGTATCATTTTGTTCCTACGGGCATATACAACGAAAAAATTGATGTTAACAAGAAAAATATAGGGATGCATTGTATGTACTCGCGTCAATTTTAATGGTCGTTAGTGTTTTATGGTCAATACTTTTTTTGGAGGGGTAACATTTATACCCATAACCTGTGAATTATAAATTTCATCAATGTTATTTTGGTAGCAATGTGTAGCATATATGTTTCTTAATCATATGCAGTTTAAATAAAATTAATCTGACAATTATTAATGTCACTAGAGGTCAAAAGGTCATCGACCTTTTTCTAAAATGCAAATTTTTTTCATAAAATATCAATAAACTTCAGTGTCAGATGTCTAATTTTGGATGTATTTGATACAAATTGTGTTTTTCTTGTAGTTATTAACATATGGAATACAAAAATTGAGGTTAACAAGAAAAAAATTAAAATGCATTATGTACTATTGTCAATGTCTATGATCCAAGAAATTTGTAATCAACAACAGTTTTTGGGGTAGGGGATAACATTTATGCTCATAACTCTTGATTTAGTCAATGGATTTGTATGATGTTGGTATCAACATTTAGCCTATAGATTGGTCAGTCATTCAAATTGAAAAAAATTTTGAAACAGGCAGAAATTGACGTAGCTAGAGGTTAAAAGTTCATTGACCTCCACAGAAAAGTTGTAAATTTATTCCCAATTCACTCACCAACGTTTACAAATCTACAGTTGTGAGTAGATTTGATAAAAATTAGTATTTTCTATTATAAATAAGCATATGGAATATAAAACAATGATATTATCAAGAAAAATGTATAAATTGATTAAATGTACTACTGTCATTGTGTTATAATCTTAGAATTTGTAATCAACAACAGTTTTTGGGGTAGGGGATAGTATTAAATGCTCATAACTCTTGATTTACTCAATGGATTTGTATAATGTTGGTATCAACATTTAGCCTATAGATATTTTTCTTGTTAACATCAATTTTTTTGTTCTATATGCCCGTAGGAACAAAATGATACCAAGGAAGTTTAACTGTGTGGGTGCACAGTGAACCCCCCCTCTAGCCCATGGCCTAATACCGAGGGCCGCAAATACACTTGGATTTTCCAGTGTGCTTCAAAAACCTTACATGGACTGCTTTTATAACACTCTAAGCAGTGTTCTAATATTACTTTTAACAGATGGTCAGTGTCAGGCCATAAAAACACAAGGGGTTTTCCAGCCAAAGATGGTTATAGTGACCATCAGGCTGCACTTTGCCCACCTGTGCCTTAAATAGTCAATGTACAAGAAGTGATGCTGTGGGTTTGTTACAGTTTGTGGTTCTTGAATCATTTTGACGATGATGGACGGAGATGTGTATAGCAGTAGGTATGTAGAAGGTGATCTTTTCTGGAAAGGGAAGAAAAAAGTTTAAAAGTAAATAACTTAAGTGTAGTTAAATATGATATTCCAAAAAGGATGAGTTAGTTCTCAAGAGAGGAGTATTTTGGTGTGAATCACACGAAGGATAACCCACTAAGGGCGAAGACTTGTTTCCAGTGGGTCCTTCCAGTGGTGAATTGGGCAGTACACCGGGAGACAATCCCCTACTCTTTAACATGCACATGGGCCATAAATGCACACGGGACCAACGGCTTAAACATCTCATCCAAAGGGACGGTGCGCTATCGTAGCCTGCATTTCAGCCCTCCAGCTGAAACATGAGGAGAGGCAGCGGATGGGAATTGAACCGAGGACCTAAAGATCTCCACATTTAAGAGCACACACTTATTTATTTATTTATTAAAAATTTGTCACGACATATATAAATACATACTGTATGTTAGACACTCGTATGTAGATTGCTTTCATTGTTGTAATCAAGAAAAAGATAAAGTAGAGTTTGGTACAACAAATGAAGGTATTATTACCTGTAAATGGTGAATATCTTTGAGAAATGTCCCCTTGTTTTCTGGTTTATTAGTGAGTATCCCAGTAGGATAAAGGTCAACTGACATGAGGAAATTTAATAACTTCATCAGGATTCAAACTAAGATCTCCAAAGAACAGTAGATTACCATATTCCTCTTTAGCCCCTGTCCAGACTATCAAATTCTATTATGAAAAAAAATGTTGTATGCCTATATACGGTCATGATGTGCATATGTGGCAAAGACAAGCCAAACCAGTCACTCGTCGCAAATCGTGTTTCAGAGAAAATGGCCAAAACATGCTGGAATGTCAAATTCTTTAAAATCTATTTTATTGCACTAAACTAACCTTTACATATCTATACATCGTTCTATGCTGTTATTTTCCCCATTTTTAATGTTAAAACAACACTTTTTAAGGATTTAATGATCGTTTCTACATGAG